GGAACAGCAGGAGAAGAAGGAGGAGTAGGAGACCGCCAGGGAGGAGGGGAGGCCCAGGGCACAAGCTTCGGGACGTCCTCGGCCTCAGAAGGCCTCCGCGAAGGAACTCAGACAGCCAGGGAGGAGTGGGAGCCCAGAGCACGAGCATGGGCGTCTCTGGCCTTCTCTGGGCCTCCGAGGGCCTCCGCGGAGGCTTAGGGGTCCCTCGGTCCCTCTGGAGACCTCTGGCCAGAGAGCGCCGCAGGCCTCCAAAAACACATGCCACCTTGGCCCTCGAGCAGAAAGTTGCGCCCTTGGACGGCTCGCATTTTTCTCGAGTCGGAGGCCGGCTGCTCCTCGATCTCGGGGCCGTCAGAACGACTTGGGGTGCTGGCCCCGCGGAGAGGTCGAGGAGGAGGAGACGTCCAAGGAGGAGTGCGACCAGGGTGCAAAGCTCCCAGAGATCCGACGTCGTGTTTTTTTCAACACGGGTTTCCCCAGAAGGGTCGACCCATTCCGTAGGACTGGTTTTCATCCTGCGTCGTTTTTTGACGAGACCGAGCCCCGGTGAGGGCCCCTAGAGGCCGAAGGCTGCGGAAAACGTGCGTCTTGATTTTTTCAACACTTTGGATCTCTGGGCTTCTGGGCGTCTCCAGCCCTCTCTAGCCTCCCAGGGCGCATCGTGGATCCCTCTGGGGACCTCCGGCCGGAGAGCCCCGCAGATCTTCGCATGGAGGCATTGGCGGCCTTCTATCGGGAGGTTCGGACAGACGACTACGCCAGTGGGAGGCTCACAGTTGGCACGGACTCGGGTCTCCGGAGTCTCGGTTCGCCAGGGCTTGGTTCTCGGGGGCCCCCGAACGGGGTGGTGACCACACCGTGTGGTGAGTCGGTGGGGATTCGGGGTCACCGCACGGTTTTGGGACTCGGGTCGTTTTCCGAGGACGTTTCGGGCGACTGGGGCCTCCGAGGTCCCAAGCCTGTGCGGTGACGGTCTGTGCGGTGAGATCTTGGGGGACTTCGAGGTCACCGCACGGTCTGTCACCGCACCGTTCCAGGACTCCAAAATGACAGAAGCTGGTCCTGCCTATGCCGCGCAAAAGTCGTTCCCTGCGCCAAGCCACCCACCCGGGGAGCTGTAACGATCGTGCTCGCGCGCATGTCGATCGCAGCGCACCCACCCCGCCGTGCCCCAGGCTGAACATGAAGGCCAAGATCGGAGCAGGGCGAGCAGAGACAATGGCAACTCGCAGTCCGTCCCCAGACCATTTCCGGGATCCAAACGAACCAGTTTCAGGAGCTGGGTCCAGCCGTGTCCAACCCTCCCCAAGCGTTCTCGTTCTCGGTTTCCCCTCCCTTGGGTGCAACGACAGTTACCAGAAATAATGCAGGAGGTCCAGAGCTCCAGTGACTGGAGACTCGAAACATCACATCTAGTCGTCGCAGGTTTGGGCAGGCGTCACGAAACAAACACGACGTGCGCCCGTTCACGTCTCATGGCCTCCGAAGACTGATTTCGGGAACGGGGCAATCGACAAACGACCAGCGACGAAAAAATGCTTCGTGGGTACGTTTGAGAGTTCGAAGGGCCCACGGATTGAACAAGCCATGACGTCGGAGTTTTTGGGTCTGGGGGTGGCTTCCTTCACGTTCAGTCCCCCAGTCTTGCTGTTGTCGCGGCGAGCCCCTTGGCACAATGCGGGCTGCAGGCAGAGAGCTGCGGCCAGGGTCAGAAAGGCCGAAGTGAGCCTTTGGGACTCGCGCTGTGCTTGTGGGCTGGGCAGTCAACTGGAAACATAACGTTCCTTTCTGCGTGTGGTGCTGTGCGGGTCGCGATCTCTTTTTTTTATGTCGGTCTCTCTCACTACATATAAATATATATGTATATGTGTATATATATATATACAAGACTGCAGTGGCGCTTCGCGACATGCACCTTGGTCCTTGAAGTTTGGTATGCAGGCGGAATGGCAGGAAGGTCAAGCCGACAATTTAGCGATAACTCCTGGTTGCCTTTTTCCGGCATCGCCGCTATAATGATGTTATTCGTTATCCTTCCTCCATGGTTATTGTTCCTTATTTTCGCCATACCCTGCGCATTCTCCCCATCCTCCTCAGCTCTTTTTTCCGGAGGCTCCTCCTTGGAGAGCCTCTAGGGGCCTCACAAAAGTTGTTTCGGGCTTTCTTAAGGCCTTCTGGAGGCCTCCTGGGCGTATTCTGGGGGCCTCCGGGGGCTTCCTCGGGCCACCCTGCCTCCAACCGCCGTCTCCCTGAACGACCGAATCACGATTTGGAATTCTTCGGAGGGTGTCTTTGGGCCATCTTGGGCCGCCATGGGGCTCTCTGAGGGCCATCTTGGACCCGTGTTGTGCCGTTTTGGGGCTTTCTTGGACTGCCTGGAAGCCCTTTCGGGTGGTTGTGGGGCGATATGGGAACCTCCCAGGCGGCTTCGGACGCCCAGAAGACCGCCGTCTTGGAGCGTCGGGAAGCCGAAAAGAGGAAAACCCCACAATTCACCAAAAACCCATAGAAAATCAATGATTTTTGCCTCGGGGGGCCTTCTTGGGAGTGCTCTTGGAGGCCTCTTTGGGGCCGTCCTGGAGGCCTCTTGGGCCATCTTGAGGTCACGTCGGTCACTCTTGGAGCGCTCTTGTGCTGTCTTGGGGGTCTCTAGGACGTCTCCGATGACCCCCCTGATCGCCCTAAGTGTGCTGGGAAGGCTTGGCAAAACGCCTTGCGAGGCCCGGTGGCCGCTTCAAAGCCCGTCCGGAGGGCCCCAAAGCCCCAGGTCCCGGGAGTCCGGTTTTGGGGGGGGGTGACGGGTTTTCCCCCCGCCCGGGCTTATAAAAATATAGGAAGAGGAATAGATATATATATATATATACACACACACACACATCTACGGTCGGGAACTTGTGGATAGCGTGTCGCTCCGCTGGTTCTGGCTCACCACGCTTCGTCGCGGCACGCTACACATTTCCTGGCCCCCAAGGGTCAAAGTCACGAGTCTTTCCCGGCCTCCCACCCCGCGGAGTGGAGTGTCACGCTACATGTATATGTGTATATGTATTACCATATGCACCTCTCTGGGGGAGTAAAGCTCAGAGGCGATTGATTGTCGCCGCGTTCGTTTTCGTCTGGCCTGACATCTGGACGCACCCCTCATGCTCGAGACGTCAGGTAACAACGCAATGAAGTTTCAATATGCTGACACAGCTCTTTCAGCAACAACGGATGCTCAGTGGTGTTGCACCATGATTGTTCAAATACTACCTGCGCAGATCTACAGCACTATATAACGAACGTTCAAACCTACATGCGCTTCCTTGGCTTTGAGCGAACCGCTCGAAGCATATGTTTTCGTTGGCTCCAAGTGTAATGCTCGATTTTTGCTACAATTGATGTGCCTGTTGCCCGCAGGGGTGCTTGTCAGAATTGTCCCATGCTGTGGCAACCGCATCGATGCCCCCCCCGCCCCGTTGCGTTTGTTTGAGCTATGGCACGCACATGCCACTTGCGTATTGCAGACAAATATACAGGACCTGTGTTAAGATTGGTAGTGACTCGGCACGGCAGCAGCATCAGTGTCAGGAGAGGGGAGCGTCATGTCGCATCGCCCCTCAGGCACCTAGGAAGTCTCAGAGAGCATGCATATTTCTGATGGTAGCTAAGCGCATTTGTTGTATGACATTCTAGTATTGTAATTCCGATTCGCGCGGCTTGGATCCGACAACCGCACAATCCAAGGATGGTGGCAATAGCAGATCATTTGAATGCATCACTCCAGCAGCTGAAACCATAGACAGATAAATCTTGCGAAATGAGTTCATGATTTGAACGATGCCCGAGGGCAGAACAATGTGTTGTCGAATCTGCTTCTCTTATTCCTGGCCCTCCTGCCTTGGCCCTCGCTCGGAGCCCCTCCCCCAGCCGCCCAGGGTGGGGAGGGGCGGCCATGGCGGCGGGATGCGGTACATTGGCCCCCGCGGACTCGGCGTCGCAAGGCGCCCTTGGGGCGGAGGAGGAGGAGGAGGAGGAGGAGGAGGAGGCGGAGTGAGTAGGCGGGAGAACGCTCAGATCCCATCGCCGCAGACACAATCGCGACGGCTCGTTACTCACCGTCTTGGAGCCCCGGAGGCCAGCTTCGTGCCCAGGGATCTCACAACAACAGAAACACATGATGACGAAGAGCATTTTGAGTCCCCGCGAAATCAGTTGAGCACCGGCCCAGCGAGAGCTTGAAAGCCGAACGGGGCTAGGACGAGGATCCGCCCGTTCCAGAGCGTTCCCGGAAGCTCTGAGAAGGCAGCGGCGCCCGAGACACCTTCCGGAGCCGTCGGATCTCAGAGGTGATCGGCTTGGCCTCGCCCGATGTCGTCCTCGTCCTGGCGCCGTCTTGCCAAAGGCCCGGCGACGGCCCGCCGCTGTTCGGCTGCACGTGAGAATGGTCCTTCGTTAGTGACCTCTGGTGCGGGCCCACGGCCCCCACCACCGCGGAGGATCGCTGAATGCGATTCGGCCACGCGTAGACGGGGGTAGGGGGAGGGGGGAAGGCTTCTTGGAGGCACCCCTGCTTCTTAGAAGGTGCGGGCCTTCTCTATAGATGTAAGAACGGCGCCTTCAAAGAGTCATCCCCCCTCCCCCTAACCCCCTTGTGCGCGCCGCCAAGCGATGCGATGGCAGCGCCCTGCGCACCTGGGCACGGCCTCCCCGCGCGCCGCCCGAAAGCCGCGCACGAGGTCACTCCTGTCTCGGGTCTCTCTTGTGCCCTTGGAGAGAGAGCCCCTGACCTCAATAACACGATGAAGACGTGGCCTCACTGAGGTCCCCGTCTTCGCATTGGGGATAACGAAGATGGGCGATTTGGCTCGAGACCTACATCCGCAGAGAAGACCTCCTGCCCCTAGTGATCCTGGCCCTCCTTACTTATGTTCTCTCCCACGGGGTCTGGGGCCTTTTACCTAATCATTGAGTGTCGCCGAACGTGCTGCGCCCCGCCTCCGCCGCCCCCCTGGTGCAGC